AAGAGGGGCTTCAGGAGTATTTTGCAACTACTACTACTACTACTACTACTACTACTCCTGCTGCTGCTGCTGCTGCTGCTGCTGCTGCTGCTGCTGCTGCTTCTGCTAATGCCACTGCTGATCTTTCTTTTGTTCCTCTTTTCTGGCTCATCCTACTGTGCTGAGCTGCTGTTGGCGATGGTACTGATGTTGGATCTGACTTGAATGAAGACACCGGCTTTGGTCTCATTCCTGGTTTTGTAGCTGTTTTTGCGGATGCTCTAAGCACCGACGATCACGAATACTGATTTACCAGATCCTACTGAAGACGACATTGACAAGGCGTGAAGGTTCAAGCAGGATGCCCGCTGATCAGAGAATCGTGCCTGATGAGTGCTCCTGCCCCACAAAAACTGCTAGGAAGAGGTATCTTGCGTGCCCCTGAACCTTACATCTTCAAGCCCAAACGCCTGAATCTTGTGACCCCTAGACCCTAAACCTTTAACCCGAACCCCTACACCCCCCAAACCCTCGAACCGAAGTACTGGCCAGGTCTCCTGCAGCCGCGCGAAGGCAGTGGCAGCTCTCAAGGCGAACAACAACGACATCGTGGAGGCTCGGTTTAGGGGCCTAGGGCCCTAAACCCTAAACCTCTAAACCGTGACAGAGGAGTAGGCCTCACTCAGCCTTTTTGTGCCGTTCAGGGCTTGGGCCGGGTTTGGATTTAGGAATTATTGTTTTCGGCTTTGGGGTGTACTGCCCCGGGCATTTAGAGTTTGAATCAGGATGTAGGGGGTAGCATCCCGGTCAATCTGCGTGTTGATTGACTGGAGATCAAAGCTGTGCAAAGAAGTGTCGGGGGTGGGATTTAGTTGGACCCTTAGACACGTTAGTTTTCAGGGTTCCTGATTATGATTTCCTGGTGTATAAATCCTTCTAAAGGTAGATTATTTGTGGGTAAGGCTAAGGTAGGTATATAGGCCTTCGACAGCATCCTTCCACCCGATGCCACGAGCCCCAATACACCCCCCCCAGAACATTATTTCTGAAAGGACAAACCCTATTTCCTAGTCGTTCATCCCCGGTTCCAAGACTAGTGCAAACCCACCTCCCTCCATTTCGTCTCTGTTAGGTGATATGAAGGCCACGAACGCCCAAAAGATAACTTCCAATACGTGCTTGTTCGGGAACGTGTCTGTAAAGAGTAATGATAGACATGATAAACATGCAACATCGCTGTCTCACCCAATACTGCCTGTAGTCTCCATTGCAGTTCTTTGGGGATACCTTATAAAACCCTTAAAATATAATTGGTTAAACCAAAAAAGGAACTACAATGCAGACTATAGGTGGTAGCCACCAATCCCTAACCCCACAGGTACCTACTATATGGGCGGTTGTCAAAACTATGGTCCCTTTTTGGGTCCTTATTATAATACGGCACCTATTATTTAGGGTACCCCAAAAGGGACCATAATTTTGACAACTACCCATATAGGCTACTAGAGCCCCTAAGGCCCGATATAGTAGGTACCTAGGTGTTTAGGGAATACTGGTAACCAAGTCTGCCACGGCAAGGCCATCATGCAGCTCTCCTCCAGCTAGTCGGAGATTCAGTCTGCCAGAGGCTCCGAAGTGGTTTGAGGTTTTTTGGGTCTCAGGGTTTAGGGCTTAGGGTTTAGGGTTTAGGGTTTAGGTTTGCCTTCGGGCCTTCGGGCGTTCCGGTTGGGGGTGTCCTGGCACGGGTCTTGTTTGTCAAGCGTTGGGTTTGGGGCTTCCTTTTGCCGTGAGGCGGTAGGTCGCGCCCCGGCCGGTTCATGTGCTGTTAAACTCTAAACCCTGGGTACGGTAGCAAGTCCAGCAAGCGGTCCAAAGCTTGAAATCCCTCTCTCACCCAGCCAAATTCTGCACCGGATGCCGCAACTGAATGTATTAATTAAGTGAGGTGGTGGCACTGGCGGCACCCCAAACCCTAAGCTTTCCCTAAACATTCACAAACGTTCATAGCAGTCACAATAACTTTCCTTATGCTGGCAAGCAAGACCTGGAAGGGCAGTGGTGCGCTCGTGATAAGTGTGAAAGCAACAAGTTGGGTTTACCTCTAGTCTCCGTTGTTGTTCTTTTTTTGGTTTAACCAGTTATATATTCAGGATTTTATAAGGCATCCCCAAAAAGGAACTACAATGGATACTATAGGTAGGGTGGTTTTGTTTCGGAACGAAGGCAACAGTCCCTGTAACTCCGCAAAAAGCCCTGCAGCGGGGTTGGATCCTCTCCGCACTGCTCATGCCAGGGCGTCCAACAGCTTCCGAATGAACCAGCTTTGAAATGAATGGAGTTCCTCCTTAAGGTCTCCAATTTTGCACAGGACTTGCGCTGCAATTTGCTATGAAAAAAGATCCGCGAGCGTCGGTTTCTAGTTTTCGTAGCTGCCAACACGCAACTCCAAAACCTTAACTTCGAAACCTTGAACCCTAAACCCTAAACGCTAAGCCATCAGGTTCTACGAGTCAAGGCATTCATGAAAGCAGCACCACACAGACGGGCTGGATTATATGCATCTAAGTTTGGGAGGATGTTACGCTTGGTGCGAACACACGGCACAAGGATGCCAGATATTCTGGTTGAACCTTGCTTCAAAGACAATATGATTGTCTGAATCCCGAATCTCGGATCGGTCATAAATCATATTTAGATGAGGACAGTTACGCGCACCCTTTCCATAAGCTGAAAATCCCGAACTATTTACTGGAAATAGAAACGCTGCTTCATGCTAGGTACGGCCGAATTTGATATTGGAGAAATCTGGAGAGATATAGGAGATCGTCACTCTCGAGCGAGAGAAAATTTCAATATTCTATTCTTCACTATACTGTAGTTCTCAAACCTATTAGAAGTAATATAATTATTATAGATATTATCTCACTAGAAATTCCTTAATCAATAGAATATATATGTATATATATATACTAGCCCCCCCCCCTAATTGACTAACTCTGAATATTAATACTTTCACTGACTCACGAATATGAATATTCATAATAGTACTACTAGTAAAATTATTATTGATATTAATATTGGAGATCTATGAATACTAGTATTAGCAGAAATAGCAAAACTAATTCTAATATGAATACGATTGATTCTATGACTACTTATAATCGTATTCTTCTTAGCAATAATAAAATCATAAAAATACTATGTACTAATATTTATACTAATACGGATTCATATAATAATAAATATATTACTCCTACGAGTAAAGAAATCCTTATTCTTATTATATTTAATATTTATATATTAAAATTTCGTAGTCATATTCTTGCTAAAATATACTAATATAAATATTAGATCTTATTAATATTTATTTCTAGATTGATATTATTCTTATAAATAAATATTTTCGTAATTATATTAATATT